GTCACAATAGAATTAACGTTTAGGTGGGGATACCGTACAATTTGGAAGCGGCAAATATAAAAAAAAAATTAAGAGTAAATGTTTGCAAGTGTGCAAACTATTTACAAAATGCGCAGAATCCATACATCTATTCAAAAAAATTGTGCAACGCAGTTCACACAGTGAAAAATGGCTGTAAGGCCATGGGAGCAGATGATTTACCAACTAATATGCGCAATATTTTAAAGTCACAAAACCTTATGTTATAGTTAAGGTAATAATACAGTAATACAGTCACTAATCTATTTTGTAAATTCAAGTTTATTTCAAACTTATCGTTATTTAAATGGCAGTAAAATTTTTTGAAAATCTTTCAAATAATTATCTTTACTTGATGATGAAGAAGACTTAATATAGTTATTAATGTTGGTGAATTCCCAAACACCAAAATATTCCAAGCACACTCGGCAATCTTAAGATACAGATCTTTATATTTTCGTAATGAATTGGCAAATACTTTACAAAAACCTTCAAATTTCGAGGTATGCAATTATTTTGCAATAAAAATCATTATTTAGTACTTTATAAGCTTTTAAATTAATAAATTAAGAGTTTGATTCTAATTTTCTAAAATCTTTTTAATATTTTAGCCCTAATAAGTAGCAAATTTTAGCTTTTTAAACTAAATAAATTAAGCATTAAATTTTGCAATATTATAACAAACATATTAACTTTATTAGGCTATAAATAGTATATAGTAAGGTAATGCGTAAATTGATATAAATATAATAAAAAAAATACAATACTAATAAAAATTTAAACCTATTAAACATCAAAAATATAGCTTTTATAAACCATTAAATTAGGATTACAAAAGTAATTAGATAGTAATAAAAATTTACAATAAATAAAACTATTAAAACTATTTTTAATGAAAAGCATAAATATATAATATTAGATAATACAATATTAAAAAAATAATGGTTATTAACAAAGCTTTTATTAGTAGAAATTTGTTATGACAATAAATATATATTTTTATAATATGTATGGTGTTTATTGAATTATATGTTTCTAAAAGAATTACTGTTTGCTAAGATTACAATGAATAAAAAAATCATTTACTAAATCAATTAATATTTTACTATCGTGATCCTAATTATAATAAATGACAATATTATACAATTTTGAAACTTTTTGGATGGTGATTTTATCTGGTCTATCATTATCACTTTTTTGATTTAGTTGGATCAATGATCTTTCCTGAGAGTTCTATAATTACAATATGATGGGCATTTAAACTTCAGTATATTTTGCAGTATTTATTTTAATTTTTTATATATTTCTCTTTTATTAGTAGATAGATTTTATAAAAATATAATGAACATAAAGTAGCAATCAATATTGTATTTAGGGATTTGCAGAACAAAAAAATTAAAATCATCGATCTAAAAAGCAATAAATAGCATTTTTATTTCAGAGAGAAAGACCTTGCCATTTAGAACTCCAAATTGATAAAAGAAACAATATATATTTAAAATTCTAATAGTTTTTTATTGAAAATTCTTGAAACAAGTTATTTATAGTAAAATTAAAATAGGATACTTTTAGACTGCATTTTTAAAAGATTTTGATAATTATATATAGTAGTTATATAAATATATTGCTATTGTTGGTTTCAGATTATTGTGACTCTGTCACTTCACAATTCAATATCTCACATAATATATGATAAGTAACCTTTTCAAAAGAGGGTGTTAGATTTGGCTAGTGAGCAATTAAGGCTTTTGGTTACTTTGAGTCAACGAATGCAAGTAGGATAAGTCACGTATACAAGGGCTTGAACAATAATGTTATGGAGGTTTATAGAGTTTGTAATGATAATAGTGTTAGTGTTTATTATGTACAATGTAGTGTATTGGGACTTATTATTTAATAAAGCAAACAAGTGTACTGCTCCAAAGGGTCATTTTAGCCTTTATTTATAATATCTTTTTTATTATAATTTTATTAATTACATTATTCTCATTAAACTCTTTAATTCAATTCCTCTAATTTATTCACTTAAACTCATTTACTTAATAAATTTCCCTTCTCTAATTAATCCCCTTTCTCTAATTAATCTCCTTTCTCTAATTAATTTCACTTCCTTGATTTATTTAATTAATCACATTAATGTGATTAATTGCCAGGATATCTATATCAAGGAATTGATCGTCATACCTGTTCTCATATAAGGTTCTGGCAGAGTATTTATGTCATGTAATTGGACCTCACACTATAAGGCAGTTGCATAAAGTTTTTATACTAAAACTAAGAATATAAAATAATATTTTCTTAGAATATTATTAAGTGATAAATAAAAAATTATAATCAAAGAGTCAATAATATTAATATATACCTATTAATGCAAAACTATAATACACTATATTAATTTTTGCCTAAAGTTAACACCTATCAGAAGTTATACTTGACTGAAATTAGCTTAAAATTAGATTATTTTATACACATTGGCTAGCAGAAGTAACTTTTAATGCCTGAAGTTACAACTTTAGGCAGGTGTTAACTTTAAACATAATAATTATAATATTGAAATTTTAAATAAAAAAATTTTTATCAACTATTTTAGTTATTTTACTAAGATAAGAATAAAGTTTACAATTAAATATATCTTTTATTATATAAAAACAGATGTATTTGTTTTTTTAAAAAAAAAGTTTCTATGCAAATATCATACCTTTAGAAGAGAAACTGCCATGTGCTATTTGCACATCTTTTCTGTATTACTTATAAATTGTGAATCAAATATAGCATTAGATTTAAAGTGACTTATCTCAAAAAAAATTATTAAGAAGTGCCTAGCAATAAAGTTTAAGGTACATAGATAAGCAGTAAAAGTAAATAGTTAAATAACAGAAGGTATTTATAAAAATAATATATGGGTATTAGTTTAAAAATTTGTAATTATCTTTAACAAAGTTTCTCAAACTTCAGTTATATTACTATAAAATTTTAATAAATATTTAGTAACTTTTATATAAATCAAATTTCTATACTTAAAGCTGTAAATTTTATTGTTTGATTATATTTTATTTTTGTTCTTATAATTCTACTTAATTTGCATTATTATTTTAAGATAAATTTTTATATTTATCATTAATAATAGTAAGAAAGTTATAATTATTATTGTAAAATAGTTATTAATCAATTAACATATAATACTAATTACATTTATTATAAAAGCTTATTTCTATAAATCTAAGTAGTCTTATTATTAAATTTGTTTTATTTTTTTACTTAGAAATATTAACTAAATATGCTACCAAAAAAAGCATCTTCTTATAAGTATTAATTACTATTTCTAATTATCAATTTTGGCTTAAGTTTTTTTCTTTATAGATTAACTATCAACAAAAACAACAAAAACAAAAAATAAAATTGAAATTATACAAATTAAAATTTGATATTTCTGAACACTCAAATAATTTACTAAAACCAAAAAAAAAACTACAAAAAATATAAAAAACAAAAGACAAAAGTAGATTTGCAAAAAAGCAATCTATTTGTATTATTCTATAATTAAAATTTTAATTTTTAATTTTTTAAAGAGAATGTTGATTTGAACTTAGAGACTAATAAACTAAATAATTTACAATCTAAAGCCTTTATTAAGTCTTATCAATCAAGCCACTTACTTTTTATAGAACTACTGAATAAACAGACATATATTAAAAATTAGCAAAACCAAATTTGCAAGTTACTAAATTATTATAAAAGTAATAAATCTTTACTTTTTGCTATTGATAAGTATTAACATAATGTATTGTCACAGATAGAACTAACTCAAAAAACTATTGTAAAATGCCCTAAATGTCCTATGAAGAATCATGATACCTGTAATCTTAAAGAATAAATAATAATTCCCTTTACAGTACAAGCTAAGCTCTATTAAATGCTATAGATCCTATTGTTAAGACACTTACCTGATATAGCTTAACACTTATCAAGGTAATATTATCTTAATAAATAAAACATGTGGCTGTATAGGTGTGTCTTTAATTGATCATATGGCTATAGAAGAAAGAATATTAATTAAAATGCAGAAAAGAAGTGCTGAATAAGCAAACAATAAAGGCTGTAAGAGTAATAGTGTCAAAAAGTTAATTGAAAAGGAAAGAAGATGACTTAGAATTTATGAAAAAATGTGTAAAAAGCCAGAGAGAATATTCAAAAATTCACTTAGAAAACAATTATAAATAGATGAGAAATTTTCTTTTTATAATATATGTCTAACACAAAGAAGAAAAAACAAACAAAAGTCTTATTAATAAAGCTCTAAATCTTCAAATAAATAAAATTATTTCTTAAAACTATATCTATTTCTATAATGTACTCAAAGTTTTCTTACTATGCCAAATTCTAAAAATCACCTTTAACACCTTTTGAGGAATATTATATAACATATTCATTTCTTTAGTAACAATTTATTACATTTGCCTTATCTCTATACATGTCTAAATTACCTCTAATAGTACTATCTTATATGAATACAAGTTCTGTTAATTCAAAAATTTATTAAATTAAACTTGAAGTTAATTCTTTAGTTGAATAATTTAATATTTATAAAAAATATTCTTCTAATCAAAGTTAACATTTATCTTCTAATAAAAATGAATTTTTAAAAAATAAATTTTTTTTTTACCTAGTTAATATTACAATTCAAACTTTTTTGAAAAGTTATTTCATCTATTAAAATATACAAATATAAAGTGTACTAATTTATATTTAACTGTTTAATCAAGTTTAACAACTTTATTAGTAAAAAGTAATCTTTTCTTAGAATAAAACATATCTAATTTGATGGCTGAAAACATGTAAAGATATAATGCTATAGGCATTAAATTCTATATTTTCATAATTACCTATTATAGCAAATCAAATTAGCTATAATTTATCTGTCTTGAGTATTAATATATCATATAATGATTATATAATTTAAATAATAGTTTCTTTCAACCAAAATGCCAAATTTGGTAAAAATTCTTTCTGAGCAATCAAGAATTTTATTTTTGTAAACTCAGATGCCAACAAAAAAAACTTGCATTTCACTAATTAAAAGCATTATTTCTAATATAGTTAATACATATTCTGATTAAAATAGAATTTCAAATAAATTAAGACAAGCATTTAAAAATTTCTATAGCACTTATAATGAAGATGTTGTCAAATTAGCAACCTAATTAATTAGAAAAAAAAGCAATTATAATTATTATATTATTATAAAAGAGTTCTTGGAATTAACATTAATTTTCAGATTTCTGATTTTTTTTTTATATATTAAACTAGCCTTTTTAGGACTGAAGCTTTTTATTTAGTAATTAGAATATAGAAACTCACAGTTAAAGCCTCAAGAAGCCACTTTATATTAGAAAGTACAACTAGCCATATGTATACTTTTGGTATCTAATTTAAGTAGTCCAGCAATGGTTCTACACTAGCTGTTATATCTGCAACTCAACTAAAGGCATTGCCTATTTAAACCTTCTGTATTGTAATCCTTACTGTATCACTAGATTATCTTTAATGCATATGTCAGTCAAGAAGGTCTAGATGCTTTTCTGTATCTTTAGGACCTTATACCTTTTTTCATGCAATGTATTCTCAGAAGCATTGTTACTAAAGCTTTTTGTATTCCATATACAGCTAATCTAGTTTGATATAACATGCTATAGTTACCTAACACTTGCAGTTAGAACTAACCTTAAACTGTTATATTACACTATTTCTATTCTTGTAAAGTTTATTCAAACCTTAGTACCTATTTTCTTAACATCTTCTTTATTATCCTCTACTAACTACAACTCAGAACTGACAGACTCTCTAATTTTCTAATTTAGATGGCCTGATATAGTATATCTTAGTATTTTTTTTTTTTTGGTGATTCTAGTAGCCTGGTTGGTTATATACTTCTCTACATATCTTTGTCATCTGGTTTATCTGCTTGTTTCTATAAAGATGTTTTGTGGGCTTTTATTAGTTCAATAGTACTGTCAAAAGTTTGTGCTACTTTTTTACTCAGGAATTTTCAAATTGGTTTCTGTTTCTTCAGTTTCTTAGTCTTCTGCATCCTATGATTTTATTATAGATTTGTACTAAAGTTTTATACAATACTAGTTATTAACATTTCTCTATATATTGAGATGCCCTAAATCAGTGAGTCTGACACTAATCAAAGGTAAGCTTTGTGTAACATTTGGATGGTTTTTGTCAAAAAAAGAGTGTAAATTTGGTAAGCAATTTTGATTTAGGTCTGGCTTATCTTGAATAGTCTATACTACATCAAGACTATTACTCTACTATTCTAGAATTGCAGTATTCTATACTACTTCAGAAATACTAGACTAACAAAGGTAGGATTTATTAATATTATAGGTATGTATTTTATTATGATAATAGTTCACTATGCAAGGTAGAATGTTTATTAATTTCTTATGTTAAAATTCCCCTTATTACTAGAATGAAATTACAGGTTATTTATAAGCAAAATTCTATCTATTATTAGAGTACTGATATTCATTGTCTTGCTTATAATGATGATAGTGCTTATATTACATATATTAATTATACTGATTATAATCAATATATGCAATATATATATTATAATCATTTTAAGAACAAGTTTTCAACTTTGGTAAGATCTTCCTAGCTGAGGCAGAATTATGACTAATGATCATGTGATGATAATCTTATGATGAAATTGGTAACTTATTAATTACATATTTTGAGTCTAACAGTATATGTAATGCTACACTTTATATAGATGCCCTAAGCTCCTAATGATAAATAGGATCAGACTTAATGTACTTGGATTACAGCCACATGAGATTAACTGATTAACAGATGACAGTTTTCATAACACAAGTTAATTTCCAAATTTCATTATGGGTAGGACTTGAACCTTAGATCTGTTACTTAAAAAATAACAACCCAACTACTATACTAGAATTGCATCTTTAGGTTTCTGATTTTGAATTAAATTAGTAATATATTTAAATAAGCATTTTATAAATATTATTTATTTTATTTTTTTTATTTTTTTATTTTTATTTTTTTTATTTATATAATGTTCAAGTAGAAACTTTTTACATATAGAATCATAAGTTCTAAAATTAAAGATTTCTAAACTACATTTGTGCTACAAATTGGCACCCAATATGACATTACACATCCTATTTCCTGTGAATGCTATAGCTAACTATTTCAAATTAGGTTCTAGCTAGGATAGGTTGGAGGAAACCTTTAAGTGATTGTCTAAATATTATTAAATACAAGAAGTTAGTGAAAAATTTTGTTTGAGCTATTTGATAATAAAGGAATTAAAATTTATAGTTTGAGGAGAGATTGTTGTAATGTTTAAAGAATTTGGTGATGTTGTTAAGTAAATTTTAGTGTATTTAAATTTTGATGTAATGTTTCAAAATATTTCCCATTGATGTTGATATATATTGTGAATAGACCAGAGATCTTGATGAAACCAGTTTAATAGATCATTTGAAAGCTGAAGTAAAAGAACATCAGTTTGTTTGTTTATAAATGTTTTGATATTTTCATAAATAGTAGATGAAAAGGTCTTTGTAATAATATGTAAGATAGGTTTGAATTGAGGATTTGATGTGTTAAGTATAAAATTTAGAAGAATATTTAATAAGATTGTTGAGGTTATATTGGTAATTTTTAGTAATATTAGAGTAACTTGTATTGTATTTTTGATCAATTGTAGAATGTTTGTAGTATTGCTAGGGCATAAAAATAAATAAAAAGTATCTTTAGTATTTGTATAGTAAGAGCAGTTTGAAGTAGTATAAAGATATGGGTAATGGATATTAAGATTTTGCATAGTAGGTAGATTATTAGTGAAAAGTTTGATATGAAAGGAGTATTTTTGTAGGTTATTTTTGAAAGAGGAGATGATTTTAAATTTTAATGACCATTTAATGTTTGTAATATTTTGAAAGAATTTTAAGTTTGACCATTTAACAATTTCTTAAATAGTTATAGAGTTTTTGATGAAGGTGTGAACTTTGATAGGGATTAGATAGTTATTCCATATAAAATAGTTTGGAGTGTTAAATTTTGAGTTGTTAATTTTAAGAATATGTTTTGTAGTTTTTTGTTTGGCAAGTGAATCTGCTTGGTTGTGAAAAGAGTCTGTAGAGTGTGATTTTATTTTATGAAGAATAGTAGTAATGTTTTTAAGTTGTTTAAGATAGTTAATATAGTGAATAATGTCCCAGTTTTTAGTTTGTATAGGTTTGGAGTTGGTAGCTGAGTTGAGGTTTTTGATTACAATTGTATTGTCAATATAGATATTTAAAAGAATTTTAGAAGAGACTGTGAATAAGAAGGTAAGGATTGCCTCAAGTTCGATGTGAGTTGAGTCAGGATAGGATTGTAAAGCTGCATTAAATTTTATGGATGTATCATATTTACAAATCCATCTTATACCATATTTGGTTTCTGAAGTTTATAAATTTTTGATTGATCTATCAGTATAGAAGTGTAGTTTATCTGTGTTAAGTTGAAAGATAAAATGATTTAAATCAATTAGTTGCTTTTTTTGATATGATGGTGTGTTGATAAGTTGTTGAATAAGTTGAGCTTCATATGATAAAAGAATTATTTGTAGTTGTATTAATGGAGTTGATTGGATAATAGTAGTGCTGTGTATTTGAGTTAGAGCTAAGATTTCTTTAAAATAAATTAGATGGTTAATGAATCTTTTGATTTGATGATTGAGTTATAAGATAAGAAGAATGAATAAAAATTTGGTGTTGGGTGGTTAGTAGTTGGTAGTAGTTGAGAGAATCCTGAAATGAGCATAGAAATTTCAAAGAATAATGGTTGTTGTAGAGAGGTTTATTGGGAAATATATAGTGATTAGTTATTTGTATAATATATATAATGAAAGTAGTGAGAGTTTGAGAATGAAGGTGGTGATATTAGTTTAATTGTATTCAGGAAGGTATTGATAGGAGGAAGGTTTATGTGAGGCCAAGTTTGGGTTATATTATTAGATTGGTTTAAATATAGAATTTGAGTAAACCATTTTGGCTAGCAACCTTTATTAGATTTATTTGTGCGTAAGTAGATATTGTTTCATGTAAGAATATTTTTGTTATTTGCAGTTATGATTTGTTCTAAAAAAATAATTTTATTATTTCTAAGACTATTGATAATAGACATAGGTGGGTTGACAAGAAGAATGTCAAAAATAGTATGAGTATTTTTTGGTATTGATAATGAATAGAGTGTGATTTGTGAGATTATTGAGGATAAGATTTTATTAAGGGCTAGTTAGAAGAGGTAGAAAAGTAGGGTGTAATTTTGCATTTTTTGATAGTAGTTAGTTAAGGTTTTTGGTAAAAGTTGAGGTAACCATATTTTGGTAAGCCATTCTTTAATTCATTGGATGCCTATATTTTTAAGGATTGGTAGTATGTTAAATATTAGTTTAGTATTAGCTGCACTGACTTTTTGAATGATGTTGTTAAAGGTTGGTAAATTAAAGGTGAGTGGGTTAGTGAGAATTATATTGTTAGTGTTTTTTGCTAAGGAGAGCATTTTTTTGGTGTGAATAATAAAAAGGTGAGAAAATTTAGTTTGTGTATTTGTATGAACTGGAATAATTTGAACTAAGTATTCTAATAAAGGTTGTAGAATTAAATTGAAAAGTAATGAAATTTGTGAAGGTGTTATTTTTTTGTGTCGAATAAGAGTAAGGAAGCTTTTGATTTTGTTTTGAATTTGGTCAAGA